TAAAGATTTTATTTATTTATTTGAGAGAGAGAGAGAGAACATGAGAGGGGGGAGGGTCAGAGGGAGAAGCAGACTCCCTGCCGAGCAGGGAGCCTGATGCGGGACTCGATCCCAGGACTCCAGGACCGTGACCTGAGCCGAAGGCAGTCGCTTAACCAACTGAGCCACCCAGGCGCCCCCATCCGACTCTTGATTTCGGCTCAGGTCATGGTCTCAGGCTTGTACAAGCCCCTGCTTCGGGCTCCACGCTCAGTGGGGAGGCTGCTGGTCCCTCTTCCTCTGCTCCTCCCCCCCCCCGCACATGCACTCTCTCATGTAAATAAATAAAATCTTAAAAAACAAAACACTGATAGATTTTTACAGCACCACCCCCCCACAAGAGACATTGTTAGATCTTTGCAAAGACAACACTTTTCTGCTAGCTTTTGGACTCCTGGTTGGGGGCCGCCTCGGATTTGTGACAGGTGAGAGGCCTCTCCTTCAGCCAGACTCATCCTCACCTCACCAGGAGTAAGAGCGGGGGGCGGGAGGAGCGAACGCAAGCCGGACGCTCACTCTGTCAGAGTAGAGTCCCGAGCTGGCCCCCCGGGCGCTCCGAGAGGCGGGGCGCGCCTCCAGAGTTCTGCTAACTGGGGGTCTTAAAGGTTCTAGGACCAGGTTCAGCTGCAGCTTTCCATCCGGGGAACCCATACCTCGTGCCAGGCCCTCAGGGCTGCGCAGAGAAGAGGCCTGTGTCTGCGGGCATCGTTCGCTTCAGGGTCTTCCCCCTTCCCTGCATCTAGCTGCACTGCTGGCACTGGGCAGCAGGGACGGGGAGGGGGTGGTGCTGCCGGGCGTCGGCCGGGTTGGCGTGGGCCGGGGCCCTGGCCGCCTCCCAAGGGCCCCCCAGCGGCTCCACGCGGGCTTCACCGGCCGGTTTTGCCGGTGTGTGCCAGGGAGATTCTCTTCTCTTTCTTTTACTGTGGAAAATTTCTGTTGTGCTTTGTCTAAATTTAAAGGATGGTTTTGTCCCCTTTTAGCCTTTAGATGAAGCCACTCTTACTGAATTAAAAACAGTCCTGAAGAGCTTCCTAAGTAAAGGCCAAGTCTTGAAATTGGAAGTTAAGGTAGGTTTTTAATTATGTCTCGTATGTCTCCTCAGCTTGTCTGACACTCTCGAATGGCTATAGGAAATGAAAAATTAAATCTGATGATATACCCGATTGCTCATAGTAGGAATTTTACATTTTTGACTTAAATGATTACAGATTCCATTCACAATTTGACTTCTGCTTTTCTCTAGACGTAATTGTAACACCTTAATTTGTGCAGCATGTAGACTTTTCAGAGCACTTTTCATCTTTCCGTTTGATCAAGAAATGTCAGTGCTTTTTCACATTTCCAGCCTGTTTTCTTTTCTAGACTGACCCGTCAATCATGGGTGGAATGATTGTCCGTATTGGAGAGAGATACGCCGATATGTCTGCAAAAACCAAGATTCAGAAGCTCAGCAGGGCCATGCGGGAAGTTTTCTGAAAGTGTTGATTTTGTCAGTGAAAATTCCTAAACTTGGAGCAACAATAAAATGCTTCCTGAACAGAACATACTGTTTACTGTCTTTTTTGAAGTGGAAGTACAGGGAGCCTTATTTTTATATCTTTTTTTCAGAATCCCCCTAGTTGAAGGGTTAAAAGGCCCATTGTTTGGAGATTCTAGTTTGTGTAGATTATTCTTAGGAATTTATGAAATCTTGTGTCATTAGGAAAAACAGTTAAGGGGCGCCTGGGTGGCTCCGTTAGTTAAGTGTCTGCCTTCGGCTCAGGCTGTGATCTCAGGGTCCTGGGATCAAGCCCCTCATTGGGCTCCTGGCTCAGTGGGGAGTCTGTTTCTCCCTCTTCTTCTGCCTCTCACCCCTGCTTGTGCTCTGTCTCTGTCAAATGAATAAATAAAATCTTAACAACAACAACAAAAAAAAAAAAACGGTTAACATTTTTTGAGGCCTTTTATGCCAGGCACTATTAGGTTCTTAAGGTATCTTACCTCATGTCCTTGGCCTCTGAGCCCAGAGCCTGGGGAGGGGCTGACCCTGCAGGTGGAGTTAAGACACCAGCAAACCAGGCCAGTTACTGTCCTGGAGTTTCCGCTGTCCGTGCCCATGTCCAGTGAAAGATACCGGAAGTGGTCCTCTGAGCCCCCAGATTCTGTGTGGGTCAGGACATGGGCACCATGCTCTCCTTCATGCTTCTTACTGGCTTCTGCCAAGCATGGACCAACACCTGTTGCTGTGTCCTCAGGTCCTGCATCTGTCCAGCGGATTGGGTCTGTGTTAGGTACTTGAGACAGGGCCAGCTTGTACTCATCTGATGATTCTAACAAGTACTTAAGTCCTATGTATCTTGTTTGGACCCCAAAGTGATTTATCTGTAAGACATATTAGTCTATTAAATGTAAGGCATTAATGCTTTCTGTAAAGGCTTTCAGATTCTGGCCAAAAAGATGTCTTCATTCTAGAATCTACTAGAAGTATGCTGTTAATCTGCTAACCGGCATTCCTTCCCTCAATCGCACTGGGGGCAGAGGGCCAGATGAGAGAGCTGGGCACTCCGCAAAAGAAGCCCACAGAACAGCAATCCCAACCCCCGTGAATGTCCTCGACCAAGGAATGGCCAGGAGGCTCGGCCCGGAGTAGGGAATCGGGACGTCCTCTCCCACTGGAAGCAGCTGTTCAGTGACCGCGACACTGGTCACTGAGGTCACTTCTGCCCGTCGGTCCTGCCGATTCGCAGAGGCCCTTCCAGCCAACCAGCAGGCCGGCGCGACCAGTGTTAAGAGCCCTGTTTCCACCAGCTGGGACCCGGCACACAGGCAGTAACACTTGTCCTTCTCTGATGCCAGTTAACCTGTGATTGGATTCCTCCGAGACTTACCTGTGCCCCAGGCAGCCCTCGCACTTCGGGGTGTGGAGTACGTCCTGACGGACGAGAACCTTTAGAGTACCTGGTACGGGCCAGGCACAGCAATTTTCACTGCCCACACCACCAGAAAGTTCCATAAGGGGATAGGACACCATCTGCAGTAAAGCTCACGATGTAGGCTTTGCAGCTCTGCACCCTGGGACAGGCGCCGGGTGGCTAGGAACATGTCCCGGGGCCACCGAGGGGGTGTGCGAGCAAGCCTGCGCTGCTGCTCCCAAACTGGGAGGCACCCCAGCTTCTCCAAGCCTCGGTCTCCCCTGTAGATGGGAGCGACAACGCCCACTTCCAGAGTAGCTGCAAGAGGGAAGCAAGGTGACGACGAACTTAGTAGAGGGCCTCAGAGATGTAAAGATGTCAGTAGACATTAATTACTGGCTCCATCACCTCCAATTTCCCTGGGTCATCTGACCCCAAGGATGGATTGATGAAACACAGCACTCACCTGACTCGTGGTCACGTGACAAAGCCCGTCTGGTACTGCCTGTCAACGTCTCAGGGCCTCAAGGGCTTGTCCAGCGCTCCTGGCTCCTAATAAAGCTCCATCGGTCCTCTGGGGAGACCTCTCCCTAGTAAAATACCCTTGATCCTGGCAGAACCCCCCGCCCCAATAGAAGATGCAGCTTTGGAGACCACATCTTACAGTTTATCACAACCTTGTGATACAGGTGGGATAGACATCACCCTACGTTCAAATGAGGAAAGAGGTTGAGGGGCCCTGGGGTGTGCCCAGTGTCCCGTGCTTGACCGGCTGGTGGATCAAGTCCCCGAGCCCCGGTCTTTCACGCCCCATTTCATGCTGGTCCACCACGTCTCTGACCATAACCCTGGCACGTGGCCTTCCGTCGCTGGAGCCAACAGGCAAAGCAAATCTTAGTTGAGTCCCTATGTCCCTTCCCTCTCTGTACCTAAGATGCTCTTGATTCACCCCTTCATCCAGGTCAGATCTTCCCTACATTTTCCCTCCTCGCCTTCCAGAGAAAAGTGCTCCAGACACCAGTTGTCTCAGGTGCTGGTTCCAAGGTCAGCCTCCAAGAGAGTTTGGACAGCAAACTGATTCCCTTCCTAGAGCTACCCCCGGATGGGCAGAGGCAGGTCAACTGCAGCTCGGAACTCCTGCAGGGCACGACGTGGCCTGGGGCCATCCTGCACCCTCGTGCTGGGACCAACGTGCCCTCCAGCTGGCGTGACACTGCCCTCCTGCCGATCATGCTCGTCTGAAACTCTGGCTTCCTCCCGGCCAACCAGCTACATAATCACCTGACAACTGACAGACACCTCGTTGGGGCCTGTTGGTACTTTCCCAGAAGCCAGGAGTGCCCAGACTGCCGGTTGGTCCCCGCATCCAGTCACCAAACTTTTAGCTGGGCATAGGGCCACCCAGCTAGGGACTGCATTTACTAGTGTCCCTTGCAGTACCCGACCAGGGAATGATGTTCCAGCAGATAAGCAAGGGGAGGAAATGATGTGTGGTTCTTCCTGGATCAACCTCAAGAGGAACCAGCTTGCAATCCTCTCAGGAGATCCCCTTTCCCTCTGGCTACATGCAGACGACAAGGTGAGAGGGGGAGCAACCACACCCCAAGATAGAGCCTAGTGATTTCAGGGGCGGGGCCACCCTGCCCAGCCAGACCTTGGACCTCTGGGCCGTTAACGAGAGGGAGAAAATATCTTTGGGAGAACCTTTTGCTGTAACACTGCCCAAATCCTTCAGATCAAACCCAACAACCTTCCTGTTGGTTAAGCACATAGCAACAGGGGAAATGATGAAATGCTTCAAATACTGCCGTATGTGATCATCAGATCATCGGCGGGTTACTCTACCCACAGATCTGTGTACAATGGTATTCATGCAAGGGGAAAATTGTAAAGCAACCTAAAGATGTCTAACTATTCGGGATTGTTTAAATAAATTAGGATACATTCAGACAATGAGATACTATGCAGGCCTTAAAAATCAAGTTGTGGAAGAATATATATATATATGTATATATATGACTTGAAAGCAATCAATAAAATAGTGAAAAGATTTATATAAATTATGTAATTGAACATTGCCTTGCATAAGGGAAGTGCTCAATGAATATTAGCTATTAAGTAGTATAAGAGCATCTTGGGGCACCTGGGTGGCTCAGTTGGTTAAGCATCCAACCCTTGATCTCAGCCCAGGTCTTGATCTCAGGGTTGTGAGTTTGAGCCCTGTGTTGGGCTCAACACTGGGCATGGAGTCTACTTTAAAAACAAAAACAAAAAGAGCATCTAGCACACACACACACACACACACACAGCAAGAAAATACAGGAATGATGAGCATCCAAATGTTAACATTTATTTTTGTGTGGAAGAATATATATCTCCATTAAGTGATTTTATTTCCTTTGTACTTTTATGTGTTTGCTGAATTTTAAGTATTAACAAATATTTCTATAATTAGGAAAAAACAATAAATATTCTAGAATAAAATATTTCCTTGATTATGCTGGCTCCTAAATTGGGTTAAATAGGTATCTATTCAACATGTTTTACACCGGCGATTCCTTCCACCTTCTGAGCTGTGCAAGGGGGACCTTGTCAATCTCAGAGAGAAGTAGGTGTAGTTTGGAAAAGAAATGCATTATTTTCTCTGTTTATGATGAGATTTAATTTATTTTTTAAACCTCAAGAAACCAAGGGAAGGGCATAGGATTTTTATGTTTATCAAAAACGGGGCCTCCTGGTTTAAAAAGGGTGAAGACAGGCTATTTTAGTGTGCAAATTTTTTTTAACGTGCTGTAACAATTCAACTGGTGTTCATGCCAACCGGAGAGCTTACAGGACTGGTTCATATTCAGAGAAATCAGTGATGAAATAGGGAAGAATTACCTTAAAACCAGATTACAAGAAAATGCTATAAATCGTCCCCTAAAATTCAGATAACAACAAAATTCAGTGTTGGGTTTGCTAATGGCGCCCAGAGTTAAAACTCAAGGTTCTGAACACAGAGTTGTTTGTGTAGGAAACTTCTCAGAAAGCCAAAGTAATCCTCTGAATGTCTTTGTAAGACAATCTTAGCTTTATGTTCCCCTGTCAGCACCCCTTGTGTTTCTTCCCCTACACCTCACAGACTTCTCAAATTCTCAGAAGTAGTCAGTACTGGGAAATCGAGTTCTACCTGGTACTAACATCTGTCTGAAGAAAACGTGGGAAGGGTTGTTGGTTTGGTTTGGTTTTGCATAGTTTTCCTTCCACGACTACCTTACCCGTGGGAGAAGGAAGTGCAGGAAGAGAAGCCATTTACAGAGCTATCTGCTTCCTGTCTGCTCAGAAGGGAGGTGGGGCAGAAAGAACCCAAAATAATCCACCGTAACAGGGTTGGCTTTCTCATTTTATTCATGAACCATGTGAATTTAAACCATCCAGGTCAAAATGAACACAGAGCTGTTTTGAAGAGATTGTTCCTTTTTAGGTTCAAGATACACAGGAATAGCAATCTGTATTGATGTCGCTACTGGTTTAAGAAAAAAGAAAAAATCAGTTACCATAGTCTGAATCAGTAAAATTTAAAACATTTCATACATAATAAGGTGCCAAAGGAACACTCAAACAGCAGAACTAACCTCATCTTCCTTTAAACAAACAAAAAAAAGCAACCTCATGTTTTGGCCCTGCTTCATCAAACCTTAGACAGATACATAATTCTACAGTTTATAATAGAGTCTAATAATGTTTAGAACTCCATGGACATTACACATCAGACAATAGAGTCTCCCTTCCGTGGAAAATTAAGCAGTACCATTATTTGGCAACAGAAGTATATTACAGTCAACAGGACATCCATGGCTGGGGGGGGGGGGGGGGGGGCCTGGTCTCAGCCCCGCCCCCACCCCCCACCGGGGAAGGGTTGTGAGGACAGCAATATGCCACCAGAACTGTGGCCCACTTGTTACTAGGAACACAAGGGACTCGTGTCCGACTGATACATTCTTTTCCAAACAGGTAAAGGCGAACCGGAGTGCCTTGTAAGCACTGCTGGGCAGGACCCTCGCGCTCTGGCTTTTCCTGTCCCCCAAATTTTCAAGACAACTAGGGCCCAAGAAGCAGCTGACTGGATGACTCATTCCCACGCACAGCCCTATTGCTGCCCCAGCCAAGAGGGGATGGTGCTGAGAAAGGTCAGCACCTGTGCGGGACGGATGGACTAGAGCTCGTCTGGTTCTGCTGGCTGGCCTGGGATGGTCTCCCCAGGCCGAGCTTGAACAAGGAGATCTCTGAACGGCTCCATCTGTGGGAACAGAGTCGGTTACATCCACATAGTTCCTCAAGGTGATTTGCAGGTTCCTTGTATGACTCAACAGATTCCAGGAAGCTTCCAGAAATCACAGCTTCCCGCCCCCTGAAGTCCAGGAAATCACGTGGACTCCAGTGTTCCCCAATCTCAGGCTTATCAAAAAGGGACTCCAACTGTTGGTTAGCAGCATCAAGAAGCACACAGCTAACTGTCAAAAGACATGCTGAAAACCCAAGGCTCACACTGCCCGCAAATCCCCGCAAGCCATCGGCCCTACGCTCTCCCTGGCAGGGACCCAGACGCAGGGCCCCCGTCTTCCCAGAAACTGGCTATTTTCTCCACTGCGTCACTTCTGGTCTGTCAGGGGAGGCCGGACCCCCAACTTGCCACCTCCTGAAATGACTCCCGAATGCATCTCTCAGCTGAGGGCTTAGATGTTGAGTTTCACGGGACTGTGCATTCCATCTCTCCACAGGGAGCCTGCAGGGACATTCCTGGTGGCCAGTCTGTCCCCTAGAAGCAGCCTGGACTTCTCACCCTTTTCTGGGAAGGAGAAGAGGAGGAAGGCCTCTTACCCCTGGGATCTCCATGAGGGCATCTGAGGAGGCTGCTTGGCACTGCCTGTGTTGTGTGCCCAGAAACAGCTTAACCCAGACACTCCACACTTGGTTCTTCAAAACCCAGCCCCCCACCCCAGCTATGCGACAGGTGGGGATGGTGAAGATGCTCCAGGAAATTTCATTAAAAACGCGAACACCAAAGGGATATGCCGAATCTATCCAGGAAGAGAGCTGTATGTAAAGGGTGATCTGGAAGTCAGGGGCGGGGCACCTCCCTTTATGTTCTGAAATCTCTAGAAGGGTGTTTGGTTCAGTCTTGAATTCCTGACCAATCTGCCAGAACTTCTGGAAGCTTCTGTGGCACATGGATCTGATGGGAAACAGGCTCTCAATCCTCTTGTCCTTCCTGACACAACCACCCTCCAGAATGTGACCTATTCAAACCAAGGTCCCATCTGAGGTCATAGCTACAGGATGCTTGTCATTTTTTCACACCACCCATTTCACTTCCGTTAATCGTATTCTCTGCCCCCCAAAAATTACTTCTTTGAATTTCTAACATACGCAACTCGGATTTTCTTTTGAATATAAGGAATTTAGTTGGGCTGAGCCCAAGTAATCTGATTAAGCATTTTCTACTCCTGGTTTTTAAATTTTTTTTTCTATAGTTCTATGCACTTAAATTAGATTCCTAAAATACTCTCATATACATACAGAAAAATAATCTCTCAATGACAAATCACATTTTACAATAACAAGTTAAATATTTCGCCTACAGAATCTGTGTTAGTTTATGCAACATTGACCAGCATAGCCTCTTGCATACCATATATACATTTAGTCAGGGACATTCCCATGAACACACAGCAGAGATTTCAAGACAAACCTTTTGAAGAGCATAGCTTTTTCAGGTTATGTAGTGGAATTCTGCATCTTTCTTAGCTGGAAACTGTATCAAAGGCAGAAAACCAGATGCCAAGAGCTGATTATCATACACAGGACATTTGTTGTTGTTGTTGTTGTAGATTTCTCATCTATATACATGTATTTACACATATGTTGACCACCTACAGATGTGAGGGTACAAAGCTAATGTAGCTAAGGCAATACAACATGAATTACAGGATTGCCAACTTCCCTATCTACACAGGGTTACAAATTTAGGAAGAAGGGGGCTGGGAGGGTATAGACTTCAGCTAGCTGGGTTTCAGCTGACATCATCTGAAGTTGGCTTCACAGTTCAAAGACACTTGGGCTATTGGCAATGTGTGTTTCAAACGCATGTGTAAAAGTAAATATCATTACCAAAGATCTTGCCAGAATATCTGCTTTCCAACACAGTGACTATTTAGCAGATGATGTTTGAAGGATGCTGATTTATAAAATGCCTATCAAAATATTCGTTCGTGAAAAATAATGCCAGCACGATGTTAATTAAATGCCTGCAGAAAATATTTTCTGAGCTTTCAGTAGTGTGGAAGATTGCATTACACGGAGACACAAAGCTCTAATTTGCCATTTCATTCAAAGTGAGGCAGTCACGTCCACAAAGATGAATTTGCAATGTCTGTGCAACTTTCTGTCAACATTTTTACTTAGCAAGCTTTATAATCCCAGACGGAACTGGGGAACAGAGAGGATTATTGCTCTGTGTGTGTAGACATGAGACTGATTTGCCAAGAGCCAGCAGAACTGCAAAGGTTTTGGAGCATCCGGCCCAGCGCAAGAAAAGGAAACAAGAAGCTGCTTTGTGAAAGAAAGCGACAGCCAGCGCACGGAAGGAGGATCAATTCCAAGATCATCTGCCTCCAGGAGGTTCTACAACGGGAGGCTACTCCCACCGTGGGTTTTTTCCTCTTTCCTGACCTCGCCCGGCTCCAAGGCCATCCATGCCACCCTACAGGGAGAGCCCAGCTGGGAAGCCCTGCCTCACAGCCGCCTGCGGACCCCGCAGCTCTCTCTCCAGCGAGTGGCCTTGGACCAAGCAGCGTCCAGACCCCAGGGAAGGGACATGAGCATGTCCCCCAGCCTCCCTGTCACCTGGATGGTCCCTTGAAGGCAGAGGCTCAAAAAGCCTCTCTGTCCTACCAAGAAAGGGGAGAAAAGTCCTCAGGGGCCAACTGGTGATCAAAGGAAGGGTTTTATTTCGAATTAATGGGTTAAAGCCTCAAAGGCCTCTGGACACCTTGCGGCCCGCCCTCGCGGCGGGGCCAAGAGATGGGCAGGTGAGTCCCTCTCTGGCCCTGGGGCACAGCTGTTGCCTAGGGGCTCGGGGCTTGTACCCTCTGATTAGTCTAGACCATTTGAGCTTCTGTGAAATAAAAGCATTTTACAAAGTACCTCAGCCCAGCTCCCCACAGCCTGCCAGGGGGCTTACCAAAGACAGACGATGAAGCCCCACCTGCTGCAAGGACCCCCGGAAACCCCGGCGGGCCCAGGGCCAGCCTCCTGGGCATAGGAGCCGTGCGGTCACACGGGGCCGTGGCCTTAGAAAGGCCCACTCTGAGCTTAATTCTCCACTGTCACCACCTCCCAATTCTTAATAATTTTCAACAAGGGGCCTCGAATTTTCATTTCATAGTGGGGCCTGAGAGCAACAATGGGAGTGTCAGACCCATCTGTCTCCTTGTGCAATCCACATATCTTCATTTCTCCTGGTGACACACAAACACACACATATCACATGAACACACACTCATGCACACCACACACACATACCACACGCACCACACATAGTCTCACACACCAGACCACACACACACTCACACACACCACAGTCTCACACTCCTACTCTCCTCTCACACACCACACACTCACACACCACACACACCACACACTCTTACACACTCTCAACAAACCACACACACCCTCTCACATACACACCGTACACATTTACACACACACCACACAGTCACACTCACACTCATACTTTCCTCTCGCAGACCACACACACACTCACACACACCACATACCTTGTCACACACCACACACACTCACACTCTCACGCACCATATACATACACACTCACACCACACACACTCATCCGCTCACACACACACCCCACGCCCCCCACACAATGAGCTTCTGTGTCCCCCACCAGTTCTCCGCATCTGAAATTTGGCAAGTCCCAGTAGAGAAGACCTGACTTCTAGAACCCTAGTGGGAGAGGGCGCCTCCCAGTGGGGGACACCTCCAACTTACACCCGAGAACCCCAGGGGGCTGAATCTCAGGGAGGGGCTTTCACAAAGCAGATGCTGGAACGGTGGGAAGGCCGAAGACCCCCTCCCCCGCCCCCCGCACCAGCCCCAGCCCCAGCAGCAGAGAGCGCCAAAGGGGCACTAGGTACCCCGGGAGCGCTGAGTTCCCGGCCCACGCCTGCCGCCAACGTCCTGCCCTCTCCCGCCTGCAGTCTCACCACCCTCGGGCTGGCCCCGGGATTTACTCGAGAGCCGCAGTAGGGGGAGCCAGCACCCCGGGATCCGCCCGGGGGGACCCGCAGGTTTCCAGCAGGGAGATTGCCCCCTGGCGGCGACAGTGGGTAGAAGGGCAGCCGCGGGCTCCTCCACCGGACGCGGCCAAGCCACAGCCCCCCTTTCTCTGGGTCCCCGATCACCCTCTGCCCGAGGGCCCCTCATCTTTTTAGACAGAAAAACAGGAGGAAGTAAGCTATTTGAGCATAAGAGGAGAAATGCAGAGGAACAGGGTTTTAGAAACACAGCCACACGGGAATTTTTTTTTTTTTAAATGATAAAAGTACAAAACCGGTGTTCCTAGAAGAAAAAAATCTCTATTCCTCCCACTGCATAAAAAGAAACCCTGGTTACTGGTTAGTTCTCAGGAAATATCAGAGAAACGCTCCATTTTTTTTTTCAAGGTTGACCAAATGAGCCCACTTCTGAGCACAGTTTTACTTGGTGGGCTTTCAATACTAAAATAGTCACACAATTCAGATGATAGTAACAATAGAAGCTGGTATAGAAAGTAGAACAGAATCCTATTAAAAACAACTCACAAAATCCCTGACATACAGTAGGGGCAAATTTACCCCGAAAAACGACAATTACATATAGTGTCCAAAAAAAAAAATCACTCTATTATGTGTGTGTTATCTGGTTCCCCAAGGCCAGAGTAATGAGGGTTCCTCTTCACGGAGGAACTGATCTGCCTGTCACTGATATAATTATTTAGAGGTGGAGATGAATTTTTACAAGCATTGGGTGTTATTTAAATAACGTAAAATCAGATCCACAACTAGGCCACGAAAACCACAGAGGCAGGCCACCTCCCAGTCCCTAAGACAATGGCCTGGAGCAGGATGGGGACTCCCTGAATCAGAACAGTATACTATTAGCATTACTGACTCTGATACTAAGAGATCACAACCCAGAAATAAGACTTCCCAATGTGGTGGCATCTGGGTTTCAATGCTCTCGAGAGAAAGAGCTGATAGACGTTTCTAGCCTTGCGGTGGAGTAAGATTTCCATGCTTATCAGGAATAGATTCTGGCTACTACAGATATCAGGTGACGTACCTTAATCGAGCTGGATGACCTACAAACACATCCTGGATCTGACGCCAGGCAAGGTGAGGAAAGGGGAGTTCTAGAACTTTCCTTTCCTCTCGCTCAAATGAACAGCTGTTTTCCAAGTACGATCAACACGCCAACTTGATTTACAGGATATGAAGCGGCCCCCACCAAACATGCTCAGGGCACTGCCAGGAGAGTCCCGGCAGGAAGGGGTATGTCAGCAGAAGGAGGTGTGACTTTGACCAAATACCTCATAGGGCAGCTCCGACACAGCATCTGAGGGCTTCACCACGTCACTGGTTTCTGGTGCTGCCAACTATGCTTTTCCCTGGTAGGAACTCAGGTTCCTATACCGGAAAGCAAAGAAGGAACATCCAGGATCCTTTGTTTTCCTCACCTCACCTTCCACCACAGGAGGCTCTAAATTAGAGAGCAGGTCCACCTGGAGTAAGCAGACCCTCTGCCAACCTCACATTCACCTCAAGTCGGAAATGACCCCGCCACCTCTAAAGTATGCCGGTGTCCATTTCCAAGTGCTCCTGTCTGCAGGAAGGTTCATCTCCAACCTCGAAAAGAGAAGGCAGTCAAAATAAAATAAAAGGAAAGAAAGCACGGGAAATAAAATTTAACAAACCTACTAGCTGTTTCCAGTGGAAATTCTTCAAGTTGTTACACGCGAAAACAAATTTTCTTCTTATGAATTCAAAAAAGCTATTTGGAGTAGAGATAGAGAAGGCTTTTTCTCCTTCTACAAAGTAGTGGCAAGCTCTAAAATATACTCCCAAATCTCCAACCTTTCTAATAAAACCAGAAGCACCTCATCCATTCTTCCCTTGTTCTCTAACCCCATTGGATTCTAGAACACTCCCACTCTGTATGGTCAGTGGCTTATGATTGCACCAGCCAGCTCCCGGAGAGACAGCCCACCTGCCTGGCCTTGGATGGCAGACCTGCAATCACCCTTCTCCGGCAGCTCCAGCACCTCATCCCCTGGCCCCAGTTTCTCAGGCATCCCTGGTGACCCTCGCCTAGAAGAGTCCCCCTTCCAGAGTCAGGTGAGCCTGGGGTCTGAATGGACAACACCCTCCAGGCTCTCCTGGTTACAGCAGACCTGGTTCCAGGAGATGCTGTTGCCTGCCTATCTGCCAGGAGACACAGTATCAGCCAGAGACACCCTGCCCCGGAGGGACTGGATATGGTCTGTCCCTTCAGGAGAGCTAGGCTGCAAAAGGCCCGAGTCCGAGGGCTCCTGAGCTCAGCACACAGCCTGTGAGCAGAAAAGCCCCTTGCTGGGCTGAAGGTCAGTGCGGCTCAGAGAAGGAAGCTTGCAGGGGCATCCGGAGGGCTGGGATCAGGATGCCAGGATACTGTGGCCTACAGACACCCTGCATTTAGAAGCACAGAGCTGGGAAACAGATCGCTTACTGGAAAGAGACGTTTCATCTCTTTGAAAGGTAGCCCAGGCAGCCAAAAGTGCAGAAGTGGAAGAATAGAGGTCAAAGAGATCCCAGGTGCTTGGCTACATATCTCTATCCCCCCAACATGACTCTTGAGTCACAGCTGGATCTGAGGGCCGGATTAACTCATCCATATGTAGGCTCGGTCGCAGTCCAGATTACACCAGTGAGGACAAGACACCAAGCCAGAACTACTACCCTGGAGGAACATCTCAGGGATGCTCAATAGTCACTTGGGAAAAAGACACACGCTGCTTTCTCATGCTACATGAATTCTGATCATGGGACACTGGGAGTGGGTGACCTCGCAGACCTGAAAGGGTTACAAGATGCTTGTCACTGTTCACATCACATCCTACCTGCGTAAATAGTGATGACCAGCACGACACACGAAGAAAGCCAATGAAGAAAAGGTCTCCCTCCCAGAAGGAAAGGGATTGGAATGATGATCCAATACTACCCCATTTACCCATCGCATACATTTTGTCTCTACCATAGAACATGTCTTTCATAAATACACTGAACAAACTGGATTGGTTATAGAAAGAGGAAAGCGTGAGTTGTATGTCTATTTATAGATTTAATTTCACACAGTTTCTTAACAACGTCAGAAAATATAAACTTAAAGTATTCTAACCATATTTTCTTCTGGGGAGTGGTAAACAAACGCATGCCTGAAGTTAAACTGGGTCTGTAACAGTGTTCAGTTGAAAGTTTCTAACTAAAGGGTGTATCTGTTTGTTTTAAAAAATACTTGTCTGTTGTTCTTGATACAAAATTCTACCGCTATCTTCAATAAATAAATAATAAAGTGTTTCTTAAAAGTATGAAATGTAAACTTTGTTGCCCTTTCTAACACACACACTTTTAAAAATTGCTTGAAATATGACAGGGCTCCTATGGGAAATTATGACACTATGCATTCGGTTCCCAGCAAAGTGGAGACTCGGCCACTATGTTGATGCTACCCTTTATAAAGCACTTCTACAACCCTAGTTAAATTCTAAGGACCTACAATCAAAGAGAACACCGTCTAACACAGGAAAGCTAGACTCCAGTACCAAGAGAACATGCAAAGAACGTTTCATGACCACAACAAATTGGGATTAGGAGGACATTCACATGCGAACAAAATATGACCCACACTTTTCATTAGCAAATCAAGTTATTTTCTAGTTAACCAGCCTATCTTCTGGTGTTGAAGGGGGAAAAAAAATCAAAGAACTCAAACCAAACAGCTTGGCACATGGTCATACACTCCGGACTCTGGCAACAAGCACATGTATTTCCATTACTGAGGGGTTGGTTGTGTGTGGAAGAGGATGGGAGAGAGTCTTAGGTCTTCCTCCCCTGATTTGTGAGGCTTGGATGCTCCTAGAGCCTTTTCCCCACCACATAATGGAGTTCCTTCACCTCTTTCCACCCCACTTCCAGACTGTCACTTTTCTTTTTCACGTCTTGGGGATGTCTTTCTTGGGAACATAGCAAAGACAGCTGCTGGAATTTCCCATGACATTCAGGATCCGGCACATTCAAGCGAAAATAGGCTCAGAGCTGGTCACCAGCAATTACTCCTGTTAGGAAACATCATAGGACCTCCAAGCCAAAGAGAATTTTCCAACTGGGCTGGCAACCAGGACCCAATGACATTGTAAAGTAGCCTTTCAGTTGACCTGTGATGATCTAATCCAGCAGAATCTAACTTTGTAGATAACAAGCTTCCTTAGCCATCTTCCAAGCATGCTGGAAATCAAAACTAAATCACCTGATAGTAGCTAGTGATAGTTTTCACTGGCTTCTATCAATAAAAGACCTGGAGGGGACTGGAATGGCTCTAACAATGTACCTGCTAGAATCTTCCATAGACCAGCTCTTCAAAGAGCTAGCGCACTGGCTGATCAGGAGACCATCCATCTCCCCGAGTGATCATATCCAGGGCAGCATTTCAAACAAGGTCCCAGTGGGGGAATGAGATTCTGGAGCAGCGGCAGGACCTTCATAATTATTTCTAAACAGACGAAGGACTAGGCCTATTCGGGGACTGGTGGAGATAAGAAATAGGAGTGTTACATGAGTTCTCCAAAAATACAGACATTGCATTTATAAATCTAGTTTACAGTAACCAGACCCACGCCTCAGGCCCAGGGATGGACCAGACTCCCAACTGAATCTAGCTGGGGGCTCTGGGATTTCAAAACCCCTAGAAGCCATGATGAGACCAGCAGTGAGGACAAAGGAAGACACAGTTTTGTTTCATAAAATGGGAAGTTGATTGGGGGTGGGGGAAGGATTGTCGAGAATTATTCCTAGAAGTTTTGAGGGGCCTGTCTTCACTGTCCCATTGCCCTGTGGCTGAACGTCAAACAGTGGTCTTAGGTAAGCCACACCATTTCCAGATTGCACCTGCCGCCGCGGCCTGGAACTCGGCCAAACACACCCACTCTCTATGGCTCATCAAACAACTGCAGGTCCAAGCGGACCACAATCTCTCCTGTGGGAACTTCGTGTAGCAGGAGACACTTTGTAACTGGACCCTTGGAACCCTGGTCCTTCTTGATGTCGGCCACACGGATCTCTGTCCGACCCAAAAAATCTGCAAGGAGAAAAAAAACACCCTGCTCAAAGAGAGAATTCCTTTACTTCAAGGCACGTGTTTGGCATATTGGGAATTTCTCAGCGAATTGAGAAATTCGCTTCTTCCAAAAGGGAATTAGGTCCGTTTACAGGAATCCATGAACTACAATGACAGAGCGTAATTTTTAAATGGAGTACAAGGCAAAAAAGAAAAAAGGACACCAGGGTGGGGCAAAGGTGAGTCTAGAAGAACGAAGGCAAAAACGCAGACTATGACTTTCCCTACACCTGGGAACTTCCGAGTCCCGGGAAGCAAGGCAACCCCAGACGTCCTATCAGCTGCACAAAGATTGGAAAGTAATATCTCCCTGGGTTCAGAGGCCACTTCGTGATGTCACATCCTTTTCAGAAAAGTCAGGGACGGTGAGCGAGGGCTGCTCTTTCCTATGCCCCCTGCATGAGCCAGAGAGCAAATTCGAGGTGTGGGAGAGGAGGCTGTAGGCCCGGCGCTCTCGACACCACTTTTCATCAGATATTGAGCATCAGTAGAAGAGCAGATGTAAATATATTTGAACATGTTTTAAATGCTAGGCAATTATAGGACGGTGTTAAATGGGCCTCCAGACCATAATTCCTTCATTTATTCATTTAGGAATTATTGACTGGAATATACTATGTATGCTCCTGTACAGGAAATAGCCTTCTTTCAGGGGCCCATTTAAAATGTGAGAATTAGGGGCGTCTGGGTGGCTCAGTCGTTCAGCGTCTGCCTTCAGCTCAGGTCATGATCTCAGGGTCCTGGGATCAAGCCCCGCGTCGGGCTCCCTGCTCCGCAGGAAGCCTGCTTCTCCCTCTCTCTCTGTTGCTCCCCCTGCTTGTGCTCCCCCACCCACTCTCTCTCTCTCTCACATAAATACATTTTAAAAATCTTTAAAAAATAAAATAAAATAACATGTGGGAATTGGGGGTGCCTGGCTGGCTCAGTTGGAAGAGCATGCAACTCTTGATCTTGGGGTCATGAGTTCGAGCCCCACGCTGGGTGTAGAGATTGCTAAAAATAAATAAATAAGCTTTAAAAAATAATCAAAAAATAAGATGTGGGAATTTTTCTGGTGGACAAATACAGCTTAATTTTGTCCCTATGCTCATTGCGTGGAAATAATCTCTGATATAAGAACAACATTAGGATTTTCGATTTATACCCTAGTGGAGTTAACACTGTGTCATGATATTTCACTACTTAAAACAACCATAACAACCGTCCAGTCTCTAACCTTCACTTATCAGAATAAAAACTGACAGTGAAACGCCGTAGGAGCCCAGGCGTGAGAGATTGTTCTGGGCAATGCTCTAACATTTAGCCAGCTACGTGCCTGTCTTCGGACCATAAATAAAGGTGCCTAACTCACAATGAGATAATTCATATAAAAGTATTAAAAGCCAAAAGCCACGTGGAGCAATCTAAGCCTCGCCTAGATCATGCTAGCAGTAACCCCTCACTCCTACCACTTAACTATACTCTTTGACTATAACTGAGACTGTCATCTTTAAATGTACTGTCTGATTTTTATTGGGTGAGGAAGAGAGAGTTTCTTAGAACCATTGGCCAGACCCCTTCTTTTCCAGGCTCACAGCACAGCAGAAACGGGAAGCTGGTTGGAGGAATATGCTTCCAACATGATTCCATCCCTTCGATTAAACCAGACACATCACCCAATGCCATACCCCTGTGGGCTGATGTTCTTCTCGCTCAACTGGCTTATCCATTATCACTGTGGCTTTTGGCCAAGAACTCAAGGCCTGGACTGAGACTTTGGGGGAATAGCCTTTTTGTAGTCGCTTGCTTTGGGGAAGCATGGGACCATGATGGTCTTTATCTAGGGCAGCTGGACCACTCTGGACCAAGCACGCTTTGTCCACCTTCTCCGAGATGCCACAGCATTGGTGAAGGCCTCTGTCTAGGAGAGGTTGAGTCTTGTCTTATGCCAAGCTCACCTCTCTGGAGGGAAGCCAAAAAATTCTGGGCACCAAATTCCCAGAGAGGAAGCAATTTACCCACGAAAGCTGAGTGACAGGGAAGGAGGAAGGACACCTCAGGGGGCCATTCTCTACTCACCGTCTGGAGAGAACTGGTCCCTCTCGAACACGGTGATGCACAGGACCTCCTGCTCTAGGTCTTTGATGAAGAACTGGCAGTTGGAATTCCACTTGGGATTCAGAGTGTCCTGGATGGTCTTGGTGATGTGACACTGGGAGCCCATGGTCACCTCACAGTATGGGTTACTCTTTCCTAGAGTGGATAGAGTCTGCTGGACTCGCGCCTGGCTGCAGGCTCTCCTGGGCATGGCATGGCAGGGTCTTCGCTACGGTGGGCAGCAATTTCCCTCCATACCCCTCATTTTTACCTCCCCCCATTGCCACATTTGATAAATGGCATAAAATGGAGAATCTAGGGGCGCCTGGTGGCTCAGTTGGTTAAGCGTCTGCCTTTGGCTCAGGTCATGGTCCCAGAGTCCTGGGATCGAGCCCCGCGTTGGGCTCCCTGCTCGGCGGGGGGCCTGCTTCTCCCTCTCCCTCTCCCTCTGCCCCTCCCCCTGCTTATATGCTGGCTCTCCCTCTCTCTCAAATAAATAAATTAAATCTTTTTTAAAAAATGGAGAATCTGAGCGGAAACTCCCACCATTCAGCATCACACACTTAAACTATGATACTTAAATATTTATAACACTTAAATAATTAGATTAACGGACTTTAAAACTAGGCCTCTCCAGTCTCCTTGCTAGAGGCTTAGATTGCATCACATCCACCATGAAATGGCAACCACTCAGATCTCTCTGAAAAGCAAAATGGTGGGAAGGATTAAATTAAGAAAGAAAAAAAAAATACTCTGGGTTTTTAACAAGTGTTAGAAAGACCAATTCTGGAAGGAAATTTAGGGTCATGGAAATAGCACGTTTGACATAAAGCTGGCTGGGGGCTTACAGAAAAGACTTCCACCACTACCCCGTGCTGGAGGGAATTTGGGGTCCTTACCATGTGACCGACAGGGTTTCAGCTCAATGCCTTCAACAACGTTCACCATCAACCTTCCGATACCTGTTGCCCTTTGGGAGCGGACTGTGATGGCAGGAAGAAGAACACAAGATGCCTTCACTGAAACACCTTTCCCACCCTTGCTGGCTTCAGATCAATTTCATGTAGCTGCCCCCCAACCCCCGCCCCGTCTCCCCCTTACATGCTGGCTTCCTGGTTCCTGGAATTTACGCTCCACCCTCATCCTGCACCCCACTCTCCCTCTCCCCAACTTCCATCCCTTCTCAGGCCCCGCCTCCCCCTCCAGGCCCATCTTTCCAGCTCCAAGGACTCTGGGCCCAAACTTCACAGCCCCAACTTGGCAGGACACACGGGCCATGCCGCTGAGCGATGCATACCCAGGTACGCCTTCTCCCGTTTCTTTTTCTCCGTCTCTATATAGAGTTCTGAAGCAGCTTTGATTTTCTGCACCCAGGCAGTCCTTGGGAAGAAAAAAGACAGAAAGGTGCCAAACAGAACTCAGGAAACAGCTTTCGGGGCTTCGAACTCAGCCTCCAGGATCCTACCTGCTTTGTTCCTTTGCTCTTAACAACAAAGGCTGGGAAAGAAAGTCCAGTTTTGTGTCAAACGGTGCCAGTGATTTTTCCTACCATTAATAAGGAAGGGATGAGTGACATTTTTATTGATGTACTCGAGACCTGCCTTGGCCTTGGTGTCCCCGTGGCAGAGAGATGCTGTCCTGGAGATGTTGGCCTGCAACTCCCTCCTCCCTTATGGAAAAGCATCTCATATTTGCCTCCCCGAAGAAGGCCAGAAGGATCTCTCTCACTAAACCATCCAAGGGAAGGACAAAACCATTTCCCAGAGAGGGAAGCTCTTTACATAGCAAAGCAAACACACTCAGGGAGAAGCACTTTGGCATAATGCTTTCTCCTTCATTTTCAGAGACCCATCTGCATGATAACTTTGGCCAATTTTCTTGCTTGGCATGAATGTTCTTTGGAATGTTGTTGGCCTTGTGTCAAGTTCACCCTTCAGAAAAGATCTATTTCATTTGGCTCTAAGGCAGAGTCTTGAATACACGATTGAAGCAAAATACCCCCCTGCTTTGAGATCCAGAACGCCTGTCCAAGTGAGCCAGCTGAGGACGGGGTCAGGCTTGGGGGGGTCCCATTAATCCCCAAATCGCCTTCCTATTGGCTTCTGCCACCTGGGAAACCTTAGGAAACGTGATCTCAAAGAATGATGAAAATGTCTTTTAAAGAAATTCTCAAGCAAAATTTGTTTCAATTCCTTTTATTTTGAAAAATTCACGCCATGTGTTAAACTTTTGAGAGGCTCTAGAAAAGTATTAAGACCTTTCTCCTACCCCCTCCAGCCAAAGGTCATGGTACTGCAACTCAAGAAATCTTGGGACCTGCTGATTAATTAAATGTCCTACGTGCGTCCAGCACCCGGTGGGGCCCCGGGCGCTGGAGGTGGGGCCCCGGGCCCGGGGAGGTGGCAGGTCTTACCTTTCATTTATGCTTTCGGCTCGGAGGGTGTAGACTCGGTCAATGTGGGAGATGTGGAAGATGGGCTCATCTCCAGAAGGGTCAGTGGGTAATTTTACTAGAACCTCATTTAGGAAAATAGGCTGAAAAACAATGCATAGCCATTATAAAACCAGACTGGGACTCTGCGTGTTTCAGTGAATGATGAATGTGTGTGAGCTAATGTTCCAGTAAACTAAACTGAGTGTGTATGTGTGTGTGTGTGTGTGCATGTGTGTGTGCGTTCCAGTAAATTCTACTGGAATAATGATTTTGTGTTAATATCAATATCATGTATTACAAACTATAAATAGGGATTTTTGCCTCCTCCATTTTGCCGGTGTTTTTTAGGTCCTTCAGAAGAAGCCTTGACCAGTCTGTTTTGGCCATAGCAAATCCTAATCAGCAAACAGTCTCCCTAACTTCACCTCCAGCCAATTCCCTCCAAAGATTTTCCTACAAAGTTGCTAGTGACAATCCGCATTAAGTACATTGTTCTTTTCCCCACAATCAGGCTAACTGCCGCTTCAGAGAAAACTCTGTAAAAACACCCCCACACAGACAAATTTAGGAAAACAGCACCCCATGACACGAAGACACACGAACACAGCTGTGTACATCGGAGCAGACCAAATAAACAGCAGAAGGAAATTCCCCACACACTGACTGTTTAGATTGGCTCTTGTTGGCCAAGGTGAGGGGCACGGATGTTTCAAGCTACCCTGAGGAGCTTGGAGGCGGATCTGGGAATGTTTGGAAGGCGGGGCGCTGGAGCTCTAGTTTGGAGCTTTCCCAAGCCTGCCTCACCTGTAACCCTAGGCCTTGAGCCCCGCCAGCCCAGGGCGGCCTGCCTTCACCTGGTGACCCACGGCGGCCATTTGGAAGCTAATAGATGTTTCATCAATCGAGCTGAACGTTGTTCGTCTTCTGAGAATGCTGGAACTGCATTGCCTCAGTTACCCTAAATCCTGGCTCACCCCTTTGCCTTCTCCTCCATGCCACGGCCCCCAAACCCTGCTAAGACTGACTCCTTTTGGGAACTTTCTACTCCCCCAAACATCAACCCTGAGATTGCCATCTGGAATCAAACTTACAGTTTTGTACATTTTATACTGCAGGTTAGATTTGGGACTGAAGACTTTGTCGGTGCCGGAAGAGCCCAAGGGTTTTATGATTTGGGTCAGCAGGAGGAAGTCATTGAAGAGGAAGCCATACAGCTCCTTGTTGCTCTTGGCCTTGTAGAGTTTCCCACTGTGCAGAAACTTGCGCGGCCCCAAGCAATTGGTCACTGAATTGAACACGAGTTGCTGAGAAAGGAAAAACAAAACCCAAAGAAGACACGATGAGGTGAGGTCATTTTTTTGATTTCTGTTTTTCTGCATCTGAAAGCCCGAGCTCTGTCAGAATCTGAGACTTGCCCCCAGCGGGCCTGAGTCTGAGGCTCAAGTCAAGGACTGCTTTGCAGACGTCAGCCAATGCCTTTCAGAGCCAAGGAGTCAATGTCAGTCAAGGACCCAGTTCCGGGGATTCCGAGTGTCCAGATGAGTCTTGAGTATAATTCCTACTGCTTTCTCCCTAGGGGTCTACTAGTGTCTCAGGGTGACTGGTGGTGGCCCTCTCCCTCTTATTGGCTGGGAAATGGGAAGCAGGAAGAAAGTTCTGAGTCCTCTCCCGCCACCTCGATGAGTATGTGCTGTGTCCTAGCGGGGGCATGAACCTGCTCCAGTGACGACCCCACACAGGCTCCCACAGTCCCTTGAGCTTCTGGAAAGCAGCAACTACTCTGTGTACAATTCTATAGGACACACGTTACTTTCCCAGGTGTGGCTAGAGTCCAGGCCCCTAGCACGTGGGCGACTGCAAGACTTAGGGGCGCTGAGTGATGTTTCAAAGCCAAGCAGAGTGGACACAGCGTGGTGCGCATGGAATCTTAACCAACTCCCTCGTCCTGAAAATGGGAAGGGGACACTCTTTTCCTGCCACTTCCCAAACCTTGGAGATGGCTCCAAAGGCTGCTGAAAGCCAGCTCTATCATCCCACTGGGCTCTATCATCCATGTGAGCAGTTTCTGAAGGGGCAGAGGGAGACTGAGGCAGAAAAATGACCCCATAAAGACTCACTTTCTTGGTGGCCGGAGGAGAGACTGAGGGAGGGCCCCAGGGGGGAAGCTCCACCAGCAACCTTCAAGGCCAATACTCCCCAGAGCTATGAACCCTGTAGATCTCCCTGAGGAGGGTATTTGTGAAGAGGTGACAGGGTTCACACCATGGGTCCCCCAAGAGATGTTGGTGGCCACGCATCTCCCTCCATTGTGGGGGAAAGAATTAGCAGTGCCTCTGTGACTGGAGACCTATAGGCATAAGGAAGAGTGACCACTCCACTCCACTCTTGGGTACAAGGAGGGGTGAGGGGCTCTGAGAGAGCCCCAAAGACTGAAGGTGACACCCACATGGGAGCCTTCAGAGGGTATTCTTTACCCTTTTGCACTCTGAACAGGAATCTGGAGATCCATGTTGCTCGCCAAGAGAGAGTTCAAGCCACGTGGGGACAGACTATGAATCCAGAGAAGGCCGCCTGGATCACATAAAGATGACGTCATTTATTCATCCTCCTCCAAGTGTGGGGCCACCACAAGGCCAGGCTAACAATGAATATAAATGAATTGGGAACGTTTCTCTATCTTAGGACAAGGATGCTAAAGACAGCATGTATTTGAAACTTAATCACGGGGTTGAGTCCAGATCTGGGCCAGGAGACAGAAGCCAGCATGTCCCCTCTCCCTGATTGTATGGTGAACACCACACAGACAAGACGAAAGCTGGTGCACAAAGCTAGGTAAGACTGATCAGTAGGAAGGAAAACAGTCTATCTCAAAGAGGGTACGGAAGCCACAAAACTCAAAGGTTAAGAGCTTTTTTTTTTATGCTTAATGTTTTTTGTTTGTTTTTTAAAGATTTTATTTAGCGATTTGAGAGAGAGAGAGAGGGTGTGTGGGAGAGAGAGCGTGAGCGGGGGGGGGGGGGGTAGAGTTGCAGGCAGAGAGAGAAGCAGGCTCCCCACCAAGCAGGGAGCCCAACATGGGGCTTGATCCCAAGACCCCGGGATCATGACCTGAGCCAAAGGCAGACGAAGACTGAGCCACCCAGGCGTTTTAAGAAGACCCAGGCTTCGCTGAGTCCTCCTGAGGGCAGCTGCGAGACTCGGGGAAGGGCCCCTTTCCAAAGAGCAGGTCACCATGTCCTGCTGCCCGGATTCAGGAGCAGGTGTGCTGTCTGCAGGATCGAGTTAACCTCCTCTGCACTTGCTCCCCTGGCTTCCACTTGCCATAAAGCCATATCATCTATTGCTCTACAGATGCCCGGCTCAGGACATGCCCTCCACTGGGAGGCCCACCCCCTGGATGCCTTCCAGGACAGATATCTTCATCCTTCAACACGCAGCCACCTATCTCCATCTCCGATGCTTCCCTGAATCCCCCCGTGACTGTCCCTTCCTCCCCACCCTGTGTTCCCACAGCGCCCGAACCTTGTCCCGCCTTCCCACTCCTTATATTTTGTTGTAAACACTGGGTTAGCCCCGCCCACCACCACTTCATCCAGAACTGTAGAACCTGAGGGACGGCAGAGGTCACATTTTACTGATTTTCATTGTCCTTAGTGTCCAGTACTAGGCCATGGCACTCGAGAATTGTTTAATGTTTACTGAGTGGACAAACGGATGAAAGCATCAGTGAGCCAACCGACCAATGAATGCCCCTGGATTGCATATCAACACAGAGTTCCAAAACGCATTTCCACAGGGCTGTTCCCACAGCTCTGTTTATCGCACACCTAATGCTGAAGACGGACAAGGAGGTGAGGCAGGCGAGGAATCTGTGGTGGTGACTTCCTCAGCTAGTGATTGCCTTCAAAGCATTGGAAGAAGGGAGAAGCCACAGGGAGAGTGGACGAGGGGGACACATTCTGCCTGGGCATTTTGGTAAACCCTAGTGAGTGGTGTGTGTGTGTGTGTGTGTGCGCGCACACGCACATGCATGCAGAGGCAGAGAGAGGGAAAAACAGGCAGAAAGAATCAATGAAACTAAAGGAAGGGAAAGTGACAAGAAAAGAAATACTGGAAGAGAAACTTCTGTTCCTGGCAGTATGGTGGACTAGATACTCTGACACATTCAGTGAAAAATTTAAAAACTCAGTAAAATATAAAAATGCACTTTTTAAATGCAAGCAAATTGATAAAAAATATATAAAAAGTAAAAAATGTGCAGAGGCCAAAAACAGAATGAAAAGGTGTACCCCAGAAGATAAGCCAACCCCAAAGCCGGCTTCAACCCTGAGAGTCTCTCTTGAATCTAGTTGACCTTGAGCTTCCATTTCAAAGGTCACGTGGGGTGCCAGCCGAGCAATGTATGGAGGGCCCACGTGAGCGGAGGGATCTAACAGGAGACAGCCACAAAAACTTTCTCGTAGAGGAAGAATGACAAGTAAACTCAAGCACAGAAGGGAGGAACAAGAAGACTTGCTTGCCATTGACCTTGGACTAAGGGCAATGAAAAAAAATGCCCCTGAGAATTTGCAACCGCAAGGCAGCCCTCGCCCAAGTCCACAATGACAATTCACACAGCAGTGTGATCCCCAGACCCCTCTACATTTAATCTGGGGTGATGCTGGTAGCAATTCTCTCGGGAGGAATGCAACTCCAGACCCCGCAGGCAAAGCTCCAAGGAACACGGACCTCACAATCAAAAATCACAGCACAGACAGAGAAGCGGGCATGCGCAGTGACGGCTAGCAGAACTGACAGACAAGAGCGAGCTCCAGGCCTGTAGATGGTGGAATGTCCTGATTGGGACTATGTTTAAAATGTTAGAAAAAAAAATGAAAAGCGTGGCCACTTGTGCAAGAGCAAGACACGAGAGAGAAGCCAGCAGATCTGACAACATGAACGGAACTTCAGAAAATGGGAATAAAGAAGTCAGTGGACCGGTGAAGGGGCGGCGGATAAGAAGCAGGGGCAAGAGAGAACGATCCTGCCCGCCTCCTCCTCCAGGCTGGCGGCAAGACTCAGCTTGGCGGGGGCGGCCCGGGTCCCAGCCCGCGGGCAGCTACCTCAGACAGGCCTTCACACTGCACGTGCGCTTGGATCCACTCCAGCCGGTCCGAATTCTCCTTCTCCCGCACCCCTTCGTTCACCTGCGAGCACAGCTCCTCCGCTTTCTCCAGGGCGTGCTTCAAGTGGCTGTGGTCAGGGTGGTTTTCGGGGGTGTTTTCCAGGATCTACGGAAGAGGACACAAGACAGCAGAGTCAGGCGGTGCAGGTGGGCCCGAGGCGGGGGGGGGGCCGTCCTGGAGGGCCCAACAGAGGCAGGGCACAGCACCCACCTTTCCTGATGGGTGCCCACCTGGGGAGCTGCCGCTCTGAGCGCCCAGCTGCAGCCATGACATGAGCAAGATGGCCACCCGTTGTTGGCCGGATCCCCTGGGGAGGGAGGGGATGCCACATTATTTACGCTTGGGGTTTGAGGAGAGCAGTGGCTGCAGCCGGGGTAACAATGCATCCTCAGGGATTTTCCCCTAGAAAACGGCTCTTTTCCTATGTCCGCGCGAGCTGCAGGCATCGGCGCAGCTCTGGAACAGCGTGCCAAGGGGTGCATCTGAGCACATATGTGGTTTTCTGTGTAGAACACTCCAAGCCAGCCAGCAGCCAGGCCTCCTGCATTAACATCTGGGCTCTGCCAGTGACCAGCCATACATGGGCCAGTCCCCCAAATGTTCTGAGCCTCAGTTTCCTTATATGAAAAGTGGGGATGCTCCACAGCACCTCCTTTTTAAGGTTATCTGGAGGACTAAATGATTTGATAGAGTGAAGCACTTCGAAAAGTACCTGGCCCTTAGAAGGTGCTCAGTGAATGAGAGCCATGACCATCAGATTCTCAAAGGACTTAGAGTGCATTAAAAGCAGTCATGAAGAAAGGCCCTGAGCCAGTTTTGGAATGCACCAGGGGATCTGGAAGGTGTACCTGCTTAGGACTTGTCCACACACAAATAATTCACATGGACCTAACCTTGAATAGTATCTCACCTCAAAGGTACCCTTTGGCTTAAAGTCCTAGGGAAGCACCTAAATTGAGAAAAATGCACATTCTGGGTTCTGCCTTCTCCAATCATCAACAACATCCCCACCCTCCGGGCCAATCCTGGCTGTAGCTAGGATCCTTGTGGGAACTCCTGATGCCTCATCCCTGACCAAATCCCTGGGGGAGGGACTCCACGTGCAGGTATTTTCTAGAGCTCTCTGGGTGATTCTAATGTGCAGCCAAGTCTAAGGACTACAGCCCTAGACTGGGAGCCCACACAGCTGGCTTGTGCAAATTCATTTGTTTTGGTTTTGGTTTGGTTTTGCTTTCTTTTTTTTTTTTCTTCAATTTACTTAAACTAAGAACCAAAAAGAAAACAAAAATAGTTCACCCATTTATGTCACTCTCTACCCTTGCCTCTGGCAACCACTAATCTGTTTTCC